AATTTATTTCATTAGTCGAAAAATTATAATAAAGGAAAAAAGTTTTCCGGTTGCAGGTGGAGAAATTTTACAAAAAAACGCATAAGAACTCATTATTTGACATATTTCTGTCTTATGAAATATAATAAGAATACAGAGAATTTATGAAAATTAGAATGGCGAGATAATTCTAAGTATAGGTATTTAAATTTGTCAGATAACGTTTAAAAATTTAATCTCTTGTCCACAAATGGTTCATGGACACAAAAATTGCATCTGTACATATATATATATATATATATTCGCATTTTTCTAAGTTACTCTCTTGCTTTTCTCTTAAGGACACTAACTTAAAAATTTCTATATTGCGTAAAACTTTCATTTCAATTTTGTGAAATTTGTATAACTATTTGAAAAAGATTATACAGCACTTCCGCAATGCTAAAGTAGATGGTAAATAAAATATTGCTAAAGTAAAATTATTAAAAAGACGACGAAAACTTTTTAAAAGCAATCAAAGTATAAAGAGAAAAAGAGATGGGAGAAAGTAAAGCTTAAAGAAGACAAAATATATATATATATATATATATATATATATATATATATATATGTGTGTGTATGTATATATGTCTAGTAAGCTTTTTATCAAGTATCATAAAGTATGTTCTCTTCGATTTTAATTTATGCATCCAATTAAAGTTGCTTATTGAAAACAACACATGAACAACATGTGATCCTTCTCCCCCTCTCTCTCTCTCACTCACTCTCTCACTCTCTTGCTCTCTCACATTTTTTCTCACTCGCTACTTACAAATGTGTTTCTCTTTTCAAAAAAGGCTCGTTACATTTCGAAAATTTTACTTATGATGAAACAAATACAGGCTTGTAGAATTCCCTAAATTTGTTGTGTCGTTTTATGAGAGTGTTACACACACACTCTTGTAAATATATCTGTGCAGTATTGCAGTATATGTGGTTTTATTTATTGTTGTGAAGAAGAATCCAACATTGGTCCGCTTTGACACACTTTTGTATGACGTTTGTTATTGGCTCTTGCTTTTTGTAGTTGAATTTGTCGTTCAAATTATTCTATAGGGACTTTTCTCATTTTATGCCACACATTTGTTTCTTTGCTTTTTTCTTTATTTTTCTTTATTTTTTTTTTATTTATTTTTTTTTTTTTCTTAATTACTTACAAACTTGTGACATTTGTGACCACTGAGAATTATTTACTCAATATTTTTTCATATTACATTATCGCATTTAAAAAAAAAATTACGAAGAAACCAGAGAAACGAGAAATAAAGAATGAAAAAAATGTTAAAAACATAAGTTAAGACACAGAAGACACGTAGTTTAATTATTTTTGAAAAACATATATGTATTATATGTGTATTTTGTTGTGATTCTTTGCTTTTTGCATTTGTGTAGAAACAATTGGATTATATGGTTTGTCTCCTTCTCACAACATAAAATATTTTTAGCATTGGAACAAAAAAAAAAGCAAAAAAACAAAAAATAATAATAAACAAAAGTCAAAAACAGTGAGACGAACAAGGGGTACGAACACGATTGAAAATATAAGGCAATTGTGATTCTAGATACATATACACTGCATTTGCTAGAAAATGTAGATACGCAAACTCATATGCTCTTAAGCATGTATACCATATATTTTAATTGTTATTATATTATTATATCTTTTTTTTTGTAATTTTATTTTTTTTTTTTTTTTTTATGTAAAAATTCTCACTTCATACTTTTAGATTTGCCTTTGTGTGTTAAGTGAAGCCAGTTTTAATAATTTTCGTCATTAAATTAATTTGTTTAATTTTTCAGTTCGTTTGCCATAGATCGTGCACGTTTTAAATGTTAAAAGTTAAATTGTTAGAACAAACCAACGGCGAATTAAAACTAACGAACAAAGCGCTTCAAATGGCAGCTCAAAAATGATTCCATCGATATGTTGCCTTCTCATTCCGCAAATATATATATGCCTTATGAATGTATGACGAAGAAGTGGGTAGAAAGTATATGAACAATAATAGTAATAATACAGAAGATTTGTACTACATTTTAAAATATACTTAAAAATGCATGTAGCTATGTAGCTTTATTCATGCATCTCTCTCTTTCTATCACGCTCGTTTTGCCTATTGCTTTTCTCCTAGTGTATTTCATACAATTATCTAGATATATATATCTAGATATATATATATATATATTTATATACATACATAGATATATATATATATTTATATATATGCATGTATATTTATAGGTATGCCAAGTTATTTATGAATCAGCAATTTGCTTCCTCATTTTATTTATAAATTTTCTTGTATTTAATCTTATTCATCTAATATTTTTTAATGGGTTTTATTCTGACATTTTTTCACTTAATTCGTTAATTAATTGCTTTCATAACTAAAAGCAGCACTTCTCTTACAATTTTTAAATCTGGAAAAAAACAACCACTTCTAAGTTTTGATTTCTATTCAATGTTTTTTTACATCATAAAGAATACCAAAGATGTGTGGTACACGCATCATAAATAAGTGCAAAAGGGAATAAAAAATTCTCAGAGTAATAAAAGAGGAGCAGCAGATAAGATAAGGTGATAAGAATAATAAATACATTGTTACCATAAAAAAATTTTCCGTTTGTTCCGCTCTTGTAAAAAGAAAAAACGGGATAATTGAAAAGAAAACAAGGTAATCATGTTTGCGAAAGTTAATTTTCGTACGCGACAAAGCCAATAATCGCTCAACGTTTTTATCACGAGAGGCTGCCATAATGTTGTGTTATTTCAATTTACTTACTGGTTAGAAAACATTCACTTTGCCACGCACAAGAAGAAATGATAATCGCTTCTTTTAAATTTTCTAATTATTCATCAGTTTTTATGCATTCGTCGATGAAACACAATAACTAGAAAAATAATTTCTTTCCTTTTTATCGCCGATAAATATTAAAATAATTAATAAGTCAATAAAATTAACAATTATCAAATAATTAAAATTATCCAAAAATTTCGTAAAACTGTAAATTGTATTGAAAGAGGAATTTTAACACTGTTACTAGCGATATATATTAGCGTGCAAGAAAGGCTTTACTCTAAACCTTCTCAGCAACTCAAACAAAAAGAGCCCTAAGCTCATAAATTATTCTTTTGGGAAATTTTGCCGGAATTTGACATTTGCGGCACATCTTTACCGCTTAAGAAAAGAAAATATGAAATTTTAAATTATTATTTGCCCGCTTAACAAAGGGTATTATCAAAAAGAATTCTACATTTCAGGTTACTTGTGTATAAGCCTCCCAATTTACAAGCCTTATCCCTTCTTTTTTTTGCAAACTAAAAAGAAAAGTTATTTATCTAATTTATGTTTATCTCGTACTAATGTACTATTTCTTTGACTTGCTATTTGAGTTTATACCATACATTATTTTGTAAGAAATGAAAAACAAGCGATAAAGACGAATTATTTCAAAGTTGAAATGATGCTTTCCAATTCACGGATCAATTACCGTATCTAATTGATTATTTATCTGTAGCGCGGATGCCCATCATAGTTTTTAATATGTAAACGACATCCCATTGTGTCAGCCTGTTTTGCACGTTTGTCGATAACTTCATACCCATCGCTGACACTTTTCAAAAATTGTGTAACGCTAAGTATTGTGAAAAAATGAAGCTTGCAAGGATTATAAAATGTTATTTACATTTTCATCCGCAACATTGTAAATTTAGTACAACAACATCATCAGTCAGAACCTTGAAAAGAGAAACATTTCTAGAGAAGATTTCTGCTGGGCCAAGTTTTCAAAAATTTCTTAATGTGAAATCAAAAATGCCAATGGCATCGTCCAAAGTAAATGATGAATTTATACCTTATCTACCAGCAAATAGCTACAAAGGTCACGGGCGTAAAGTATATTTCGAGATATACGGATGTCAAATGAACACTAATGATGCCGAAGTGGTGTGGTCAATTTTACAAGCCAATGATTACGACAGGTGTCAAGATATACAAGAAGCTGATGTTATAATGATGATCACTTGTGCTATAAGAGACGGAGCCGAAATAAAAATATGGAATCGATTACAACATCTAAAGGCCTTGAAGCATAAACGATCAACAAAACGAGGGCCTTTGCAAATTTCTCTACTGGGTTGTATGGCAGAACGATTGAAACAACATGTCTTGGAAAAGGAGAAATCCGTAGACGTTGTAGCTGGTCCGGACAGTTATAAAGATTTACCTCGATTGCTGGCTTTAACGCGTCATTATGAATATTCGGCAGTTAACGTTTTGTTAAGTTTAGATGAGACATATGCGGATATCATGCCAGTTCGATTAAATAAAGAATCACCTACTGCCTTTATATCGATTATGAGAGGTTGTGACAATATGTGCTCCTATTGTATTGTGCCATTCACAAGAGGGCGTGAGAGATCGCGGCCTTTGGAATCTATCATAAAAGAAGTTAAAATGCTTGACAGCCAGGGCATACGAGAAGTAACTTTATTGGGACAAAATGTTAATAGCTATCGCGATATATCGAAAGAGACTTCAATGGAAAGCACTACAGTTCCCGGTTTCAATACTGTTTATAAACCTAAAATTAACGGTCTACCTTTCTCGGTGCTACTGCAACAAGTGGCTGAGGCAGTTCCTAATATGCGCATTCGTTTCACATCTCCTCACCCAAAAGATTTTTCTGAAGATGTGTTGCGAGTAATGCGGGATTATCCGAACATTTGCAAGAATATTCATTTACCTGCGCAATCAGGCAACAATGCTGTATTGAAGCGAATGCGAAGAGGTTATACGAGAGAAGCCTATTTAAAATTAGTAAATGTGATTAGAAGATATTTGCCCGGAGTAGGTTTGTCAAGCGACTTTATTTGTGGATTTTGCGAAGAAACTGAAGCAGAGTTCGGCGACACCGTGACGTTAATCGAAAAAGTTAAATACAATATGGCCTTCTTGTTTTCCTATAGCATGAGAGAAAAAACTAGTGCCTATCGGAATTATAAGGACGACGTGCCTCATTTTACAAAAATTGAAAGACTGCAAAGAATGGTTAAGGCTTTTCGTGATGGTGCAACGGAACTGCATAAAGAATATGAAGGAACACGAGAATTGATTTTAGTTGAGGGAAAAAGCAAAAGATCTAATGATCATGTTTTTGGACGTAATGAAGCTAACATTAAAGTTATTATACCCATGAAGAATATATTAATTAATCAGTCGAGCATCCAGCAGTCAGAACAAATAAATGTTGGGGATTTCGTAGCAGTCCGTATTACAGACACGAATTCCCAAGTTTTGAAAGGCGAACCATTATACAAAACTACTATACAAGACTTTTACAATACATAATAAAATTTTTGCATATCAATAAAAAAAATTTAACACATGTAAAATTTATAGAACTTGCAGTCTTCTATTCCCAATAAATTTTGGTGAAGCATATCGACCAAAACCCCCTTACACTAAAAAGTACACATTATTTTTATGCAAAGCCACAATATTTATGAAAGGCCGCATGTTGGAAAATAAAACTTTCTATCTATATAAGAATTTCTTTTTCCTGATAGCGCCTATACATGTTAGGAAAAAAAAAAAAAAGAATTCATGTGATCCAAATACCCTACTGTTAATTTTTTTTTGTTCACTCGCTACTGTGAATTAATTGTCCCGGTTGCCTTAGTACTCATCAGATATCTTATGTGAACTGGGCTCAAGGAAGTGACCCATGTGGTTCAAATAAAGCACAGTTAATTTTCATATTCAATTACTATCATAAACACACAGTTTCATAACAAAAAAAGCATTTTTGGCATATAAGTGTTAACATTTCATAAAAATCCCTATATGCGGTGGTATTCAAAAAATACTCCTATGTGGTCCGAATTCGGTAAGGCTAATTTGTTTTTTAATTTGCTATTACTAGCTAATTTTCACTATGATTAAAATATTCAAAATTAAACTTTTAACATAAAGACACAGTTTTTCATAGGGTAGGTTATATGAAAAGGGGTTGTAAAAAGTTGCAACAGCGGGTCTTAAGTTTTCACAACAACTTGAAATGTCGAAATATTATTGCTTAGACACTATAGGGAGTAGTCGAAAATGCGCACCGATCCGAACCATTTTTAGGTTGTCCTTCGATCAAAGCGCACGTCAAATTTTATCAAAATATCTTAAAAATTGCAGGCAGACAGGTTTAGACCGATTCAAAAAATGATTCGATATAATAAAAGGAGCTTCTGCGAGTTATATTCCTCCGGATTAAGTTAATATACCCTGTAGCAAAAGTGGTGTAGGGTGTAGAAAACAAATTGTTTTCATTCAACAATTTTAAAGATTTTTTTTTTTTTGATTGGACATATAAGATATCCTTACCGGCTTAGTTCAATTATTTTATGCAAAAAAAGAAGGTATTCATCTTAGGCCAAGGAAAATGCAATACCAGATATTCGCTGAAAAAAGCAAAAAAAAATTAATAATTACCATAGTCTGAAATATATTTATAGTTCTGGGACCTTGTTGGTATCGACAAAAATTTTATTATGTCTGTTGTGCGGCGAATATATTTACCCGAAATAAGTGGGAACTTCCTTAAAATTCACATGTTGGTCGTGCGTCCGAGATAAATCAACCAAAATATTTTTTTATTTTGTCTCTCCGACTTCGTCCAATTTAAACATTACGGTAAAGCTTTTTGAGAGTAGTAGAGCAAGAATTTGATTGCTTGATAGTTATTTCTCCAATATATTGGAGATAGCATCGTCCTCGTATAAATGTTATTACTTTACCAGTGGCCTTTGCGAAAACATTGACTAGTCGTGTTTGCGTAAGAGTATAATTGCGTTATTATTACAATATTATTTTAATCTTATTTGCATAGTGAAACTAGTCTATTATGAATCAAGTGCTAAACGGCAATAAAAGCCTGGAAAATTAAGTTTCGAATGTAATGATTATGATGAATATTAATGAAGTACAATATATAAACATATAAACAAATAGAAGAATTCGCAAATTCATACTGAAGTACTTTCAGCTGATATAAGTTTCCTTGAACTAAGGACTACGAATTTGATAGGATAATTAAAGTAGTAAGCGCTTTGCATAAAAAATTAAAAAAAAGAGAAAATAAGGAAAATTAAAAAAATTGTCTAAGAAATATGGAAAATCCAAAAAAATAATTAAAATAGAAATTTTTGGCATTAAATCGAAAAAGCAGATATAAATGCTCGGTCGCCTAAGAATAAAAAAGTTTTAAAATAATCAACTACGCCTTTGTATAATAAAAGCTAATGTGTCCATAGGACAAAGCGTAAAGTTATCACTAATATTTTGACGTTCTAACACTTGCAAGAACGTTATCGTGGTCTTATAGACAGACGTTACATTCTCCGGGGGCCATTGTAGAAGATGTTGCAAATTGAGCTAAAACAAAATATATTTGAGAAAATGCATTGTGTACGTAACAAAATATGTTACCTCTCCAGTGGAAAGCTTTTCGCCACCAGGGCATTGCAAAAGATTTGTTCGATGGATTATAATGCCAGTATTCTGTACTGCTTGCGGTTTACCATTTCTGGCTATTAACTGTTTGTTGGACAATGCCAAATTGCGCATGTCTACAATTTCCGCATCATCGGGCAGCGCCGAATGTGTACTTCCAAATTCAGGTAGCACGCCGAACCATTCATTTTCGGTATATATAAATTTATCTAATGGATTAAGAATTGATTTTGAAGCTTTGAAAGCATTTAATGTTAAAGCGCCCGATGGATGATTACTAGCAAGTTTCTCGCAAGCATGAATTTTTTCCAATATTATGCGAAATATATGTAAAACCGGTTGATTATCTAGGATACCTTGACCTAGCCCGCGATCGTCATCATGCGTAAGTCGACGATCTTGCATGATTTCTATTTCTCCCGCTGCTAAGGAAGATCCACCTAGAGGTTGCGCAGTTACCACAGTTAAGCGTGTATTGTCATCTTCTATATATATGGCCGATGGTATAGGATAATAATTTGCTTGTAATGGTATCTTGGAGAATCTCTGACGTTTAATCATTTCTAGGCCATTTAGATCGGTATAGAATGTATCGCTGCTTTGTAAACGAGTTTGGAAACGCATTACCACCTCAGTATCATCCATGTTTGATATATCGATATCATTGTGTATTTCAAGCACGTTATCGTCTCTTAAAATTGTTTTATGTATTCCAAATGACAGACCTACTGAGACTATGGACTCTAGTGGACCTTCGGTAACTAAAACCACTGGTGAAGGGTTGTTGTATATGGGAGTGGCGGGACCATTGGGTAAAAAGAGGTATGCGCCCGAACGCTCCCCATTAAAACGAGTACCGTACCTAAAAAATTGAACTCTTACCGGTGTATGTAATTCATTTTCTTCAAGTTGTATGGATTTAATCATTCCCTCGCTAGTAAAAGCGACAGTGATACCAGAAGATCTTGATTTTAGAGAAATTTCACGATGATCCGAAAACGTAACTTCTTTAGGATAATCAACGAGTTGCGTAGCAATCGGGTTAACAGCCATTATAAGATTGGTAGCAAAGTTATCGAGACTTTAAAACGTAAAAATATTAGTCGTGCATCATATATTATAAGAGGATTCTTAGATACCTTGAGTGATTATCATTTGTCACGATGTTCACTACATATGTCGAAAGACCCATTGGTGGCACTTTAACTTTGAAAAGAAGTCTATATTTGGTAGTTGAAGCTTGGGGAGTTACGGTATTTGTAAGCGAGTGTTTATGCCAAGTCCACGCTGGACTAATTTGCGTTTCGACAGCATTGCCTGCCAGGTCTGTCACACTTACATGAAGAGAGGCTACATAAAAATCAACAAGTTCCTCGCGCGCATTGGGCAAAGAATTATGAAAAACCAAATGTCTTGAGGGCAACTCTTTGGCCAAAATTATGGTAGTGCGACTATCGTCTGGACCAGGCCAACGTGAATCATCCAAGTAAAAATAATTAAATTTCGGATCGGGATTATATATCTAAACATAAATTCTTGTCAAAGTTCATTTTACTAAAATAAACAGTGAGACTAACCGATGATTTCGTAAGCAAGCGATACACCGATTGTTGCATAACAAATCGACAATCATTGACTGCTTTTAACATTCGTTTGGCGTAATCTTCTACCACATGAGTTTTTGCTGTTCCCGTTATGCCATCATGATGTTGAAACAGCGAATGCTGACGTCGTGCGTCTTGCAACATCTCATCAAATAGGACATTTTCAGACCACGAAGTCCAAGCGTGTAGCATTGCAGCAGACCGTATGTAATGCATTAAAACTCGATCCATTCGCTTATGATAGGGCCGTGAAGTGTAGTAACCTATGCATAAAAAATTGAATGGACCCAATTATAGTTTCAATCTATTTAATGACCACATTATTTCCTAACCACTCCAATAGTTATCAGCTCGATCAGCATACGTGAAAAAATCTCCGCTAAGAATAGGGAATTCTTTCGAACGTTCTCGTTGCTCCTGATGAACAGCATCAAAATATTCCTGTAATGTGCCAAAACGAGCCTCAACAAAATAATTAGGTTCACCATTAATGTGTGCAAATAAAGCCTCATAATTAACTCGTTGCACTTCCCATTCCATATTTTGGCTGTAGCGAAAATCATCGCCTAAGGGAAATAGCACAACATTGGTATTGTACAGCTCAGCTTTCTTTTTCCACTGGTCAACTAATAACCCTGCTCTAAAATATGAATAAAAGCAATGACACTTTACTTAATTAACATTGCCACGCTAACCTTTCAGCTACGTTGTTGTCTCTGATTTTTTTAGGCGATATTCGCCAGGGACAACTAAGACCAAAACCTGAAATACGCTTAAAATCAAATTGGCAACAGACTTTAGGATCAGGGCCGCAAGAATGCGGTATGTCATATGAATAAAACGGCATCATATGTGTGAATATATCAGTGCTGCCCGTATCATCTAGAAGAGATTAATAGTTTTATACATGATATATGCTAGCATATAAGAATATTTCACCCCACAATTGCCGCCAATAGAATTCCAATTGTTTGTTCAAAGCCAATTCCTTTTTAATTGAATAATGTGTCCTTTGGATAAGTAAGTTTTTAAAACCGGCTTTTTTCAGTATGTAAGGCACTGCAGGACTATGGCCGAAAGGATCTATTGCCCATGATGACACAGGTGTGATGTTAAAATATCTTTTTAGCCATGTCTGCCCTTCTGTCAATTGCATTATAATACTATGCCAATGCGCATTAGCTTCATCAGGCATCACCCACCCTCCAGTAACAAATTCAAGTTGTTTATTGGCCACTAATCTGCAATAAAATACATTTAAATATCCAAAAAACATATCAAAGAAATTTTGTTATAAGATAAAAATACTTTTTTAGTTCCTGTTTGCTCTTTTCGCCCACGTCTTCAAAAAAGCGTGAAAAATATGAAATTTCAGCCCATATAAATTTCATTTCGGGATTTTCTTTCAGGTGACGCAAAGCATTTGAAAGTATATGTTTAGTTTCATGAACATAGTAATCCTCGAATGTCTTCGTCCATCCGGGATCGTTATGAGAATGTGGCACAACAAATACCTTGAGCTTATGATGGTCATTATATTGCATTGGATCATATTTAATATTCCAACCTTGCTTCCAGGCTCCACCGTCAACATCAGCAAATGTCATTTTCGTGTACATCTCCAACATCTAATTAAAGATGGTTTTAAATTTACATTTACCTTATATTTTTGTACTTGCCTGTATGTCCGGTTGTGGTATCCGTTGAATATCAAAAGTGCATGCTTCTTTTTTATTTATCAGATTGATTTCCCTATTCACTTCTTTATCATCATCATTTTTATTCGCAAACTTTTGCTCTAAACGAGTTTTTAAATTTTGCATTTCATTATGATGCCGCTTGAGCCCATTCTCTAATTCATTTACTTTATTTTCTAAAGCCATAAAACTCGGCTTTTTATCTTCCTGTGGAGCCGCATAATTTATAAGAAAATATACAACTGAAAAGATTGTCATAAAAATCGCACATATTGTTAAAGCCAACCGTCGCTTCAACCGCAACATGCTTTTTTTTAGTTAGTTTTATTAAAGAGTCTTTTAAGTAGTTCTTATTTATTCCTTATTTTAGAAAAAATTAACTCTTTTTCTCTTCTCTTTTCTGATAGACATAATTAAGGTTGTCAAAAATGAAAATCCGTGTTTTTACCTTAGCACCTTCTTCTTACCCTTTTCTATTTTTCATTCATTTCATTTATTAATCGTTTAATTTGTGATATCGTCCCAAAAACAAAGAAAGAAATTATATATGTTGTACTTTTATAGCTTCTACAATTTTTACATTATTACTTTGAACACATTATCAATAAAATTCTTAACTTCATTAAAACAACTAGGCTAAAAAGAAAGTCCATGCTTAATGCTCATCCCACTTCTTACTTGTAAAATTTATTTTTGGCAAAATTAATTGTAATAATAATGATAATAATTTGAATAATTCTCTTCACCACTTATTTTTTTCTTCCTTCAGGAGTTTTTTTTTATAGACTTATCTTTGATCAATCAAAGCTGTCAATCTAATCTAGGGCTAGTAGTTGAGTTGAAAGTTTTCTAATAAGAGGAGCAAACGAAAAATATTTTTTCTTCTTATATATATGTAGGTTTTTTGCTTCCTATATATTAATCATAATTTGAACAAATATTTGCCATTTTAATGATATTTCAATTTATTTCCCCTTCGACCATAAAGCTCGATAGCTATCTTGCTATCAAGATAAAAGATGACATTTTAGGTTCGACATCCAGCAAGCATTCATACGCAGTCGAGTGACCTCAATCCAATTCTCGTTGCTGGACAAACGAGAAATCCCAATACAACTTTAAAATTTCTTTTCGAGTTAGCTTGAGAATTGTTAGCCGACCCCTGGACATACATTCAATCAATAAGAATAAAAGTGTTTACAAGATAACCATTTTTTACGTATTTTTGCTTTAGAATTCGAAAAAGGATAGATGAATTCATATGAACGACGAAGAGAGGAAATATAGAATTACTAGAACTAGAAACTTTTTAAAAAGTATTTTGGAAATGTGTAACCTAGTACCTTTGTGAGCATAGAGATAGTATATTTAGTTAAATTATATGCTATAAATTTCAACCGAATTTACGTTCTGCAAACGTCGCTTTATAGCGTATTAACCTTGTAAGGTATTAAAAATTTTATAATTTATAAATTAAATTTAAGAATTTTAAAATAAAATCTTCAATCATTCCTTACATACTTCCCAATTGTTGTTTCTAATAAATTCATAATTCGGAGTAGTTAAAGGATTTAACTGGCAATTCAATGTACGTAATTTAACATTTTTCGCCAGGTTTTCGTTAACTTCCATATTGTCATTTGAAACTATCATTTTTTAAAGGATTTAATAAAAAATAATTTGAAACTTGAACAA